ACGGTTTCTGAGTTGTATATTTCAATATAACATGTATGCTTATTCCATTTTTGCAGGTGAGAATGAAAAATGTGTAGAATCCACAACACCCCTCCCCCACCTTGAGCAGGATTACAAGATTTTTTTTGTACTTTTTTGCACTTAGCAGTTTTTTTAAAAAGAAATTAACAGAAGTGTTTTTTGCACAAAAGTATACTTTGCATAAAAACCTTCTGTAAAAAAAAAACTTATATTGTTTGAAAGATACAGAGGAGGGGAAGGATCTGTATTCAATCATCCCAGAGTTAAGGACATGTAATAATGGACTCAAGTTACAGGATGCCAGAATTTGGCTGAATATCAGGGGAAAAAACTCTTTAATATTAGACAGTATGACAGTGGAACCAATTTTCTTGGGAAGTGGTGAGTGCTCCGGCGTTGAGCAGGAAGTTGGACTCGATGGCTGTTATAGGCTTCTTCCAACTCAATTATTCTGATTTTCTAATTGTGAAATACAAGGTGCTTTGTGCAAAACACAAGTGTGACGACTCAAAAGCAATGCAAAGAGGAGGAAGAAAATTACGTTAGTATGTAATGAAGTAAGTTTCAAGTTACTTTTTAGTATAACTTTTAAAGGGCATTTTTAGAGGCATTTTGGCTTTTCTAAAAGGATGTGAGCAATGAGAACAATTTGCTTTGGTAAACAGCATTCAGATCTATGGCCCACAATGATAGTTCAATAGTGCTGTGAGCTTTTTTGATGACACACTGGCATTGCCAGAACCACAATAGATCTCTTCTTCCTCCTCCTCCTCCTCCCACTCCCATTCTTGTGATTTGCTATGTGCACAGGATCCCGAGATTCACCTTGCCTTCAAGAAATTCTCTAGTCTTATCAAGGAAGAGGCCCTTCAGCAATTTGGGAGAAGTTACGTAAACAAGTGGAAAAACCTGCACAGATGGCATCATTAAAGCAGAGACGGAGAAACGTCTGTTTTTTGGAGTACGATTCCCAGAATGCCCAGCTTGGTTGAAACAAATGTTGTGGGCAGTGGGATTCTGAGAGTTGTATTAGCATCTCATTGGGTAAGTCCATGAAAAACCTTGCAACAGTAGCTCCTCTCTCTTTCCATTCACCAAAATGCTTGCAGAACAAGAAGACCTATCACAAGCAGTGTGTGTGTGATCCAGCACAGGACTCAGCTTGTCAGAGAAAATGTTCCACAGGACTAGCACCAACCCCCCCATGCAAACCTAAATAGTACTTTCAAGCTAAACCTGTGCATGGATCCGAGGAACCACTGGAGGTCTGATTCAACTGATACATTCCTTTCCCAAATGGATATCTTCACCACAGCTAGGAAAAGTTGTTTTTTTTTTCAGACTATAATTCCCACAATCCCTAGCCAGCAAACTAACTGGGCATACTTGCTGAGGGATAATAAGACTTGTAATTCTGAACAGCACCCCCCCCTTCAAGCTCCAGTTATAATGCAGTAGTGTACAATGCGGATGTACAGGACAAACACAAAAACTTTCACATCCTACGGGGAACATAACATTTTTTCTGATTTTTTTTTCTTTTTGGTTGAGAACCCTCTTTTTTTAATAGAAAAGGCTTGTAATTTTTAATTGTATTTTTTTTTTTAAAAATGACATGCTGTAGTATGGCATTGCTTTCTAAGAGGGCAAGGAGGAAAACGGGATCAACCTGAACCATGGATATATATTAAACTAGCTAATGAAATACATTCTCTGATCATTAATAACTAGCATTATTGTATAGAAATCATAAAATTCATCAAACCATCTGGGATTTGGTTGCATTTTCAACTAAGCAAAACTTCTGATACAAGTTTGGCTCTAGTTCAGAACAAACATTATGGGTGCCTTCTGAAAGGCCGGAGCTTGGAAGAATTATTTCCAGTTTTTGAGACGACAACTTCCACAACACTCCCGGCTGGCCTCTACCCACTAGGCACCCACTGGCTGGGTGTTTTTGAGAGCTCTAATCTGAACAAGGAAGAATACCAAGTTCTGCAAATCGATACCCATTCCATCCAGGTTGCAGACCAGCTGAAACACATGACACTGTCCATTTGGCTTAGACGTACGACTGCAAGTAAACAAGCTAGCAGTTGTCAGCTCATGCGACTGGCGATTAACGAAGAAAATGCTTCTGCAAACATGGCAGAATTGTTTCAGCATTTTATGTGAAGGCATCTGGGCTTTTGTCAGCAGATGACAGGACAAGCAGCAAAATATGCAGTTTTTCCCCCTCTCAGTTTTGGGTGTGGGGGGAAAAGAGACTCTCTCTCCCCTTTGGGATTCCTGAAACTGATAACCAGCAGTCCTACCAAAAGGTTGGTTTTCTTTTTCTTAAATTACTTCTTGCGTTTTGCATACATACACAATAGAGTCAAGAGAGAGCACAGACAGCTGCAATATAAACTGTAAAAATGGTTCTTAGAAAAAAAGACTCATCAAAATTCTTACATAGTAAAACATTCACTTTGGAACAGTAGTATCAGTAAATTACTAACATTGCAGATCAATTAAAGATCATTTCCAAATTCATTTTCTTTCTGTTGTTCCCAGCATAGCAAGTAATCACACCACCTTATGTTTTTACTATAGGATACAAACTCCTTTATACACTAAATTCATTTCCCCGCCCCCAAAAGAAACAGTTCAATTATTGCACTTCATTAGGAAAACAAAAACAAACCCAGTCTTTAGTCCTAGTTATTCAATGCACATGGCCTGCAAATAAAACTAGGAGATGAAAACAATTTCTGACCACAAGACAGACCCTTGGATGGTAATGTAAAAATGTGGCACGTGAATATGAAAAAGGTTTGCAACGATCTACTTTTTAAAAAATTGTACTGAAAACGAAAGGGAGAAACAGCTGGAACTGCCAACAAGGCTGTTTGGGGGGAAATGGAAACTTGACTATATCTAGATTATCATTCCATTCCACTTTTCAGAAACTGCTAAGGACAAATTAAAATTACACCAATTAGGCTAATTTTGCCAGGATGCTACTAGCCTGGAAAAGTTTTGGCTCTGCCTACTTTAGTAAACAGAAACGTTGTGGCATACCCTGTACTCCTGAAACGAGGAACATTCTGTCGCAGAACAGCCACTTATATAAAACGACTGCACCAGCACCTATCTAGAGTCTAAACAGGGCACTGGAAGCCATCCAATGCCTCCATGAAGGAGCTGTACCACTTCTGGATATCCTGTGACAGTCCTGCACTCCAAACATCGGTGTTGGGCACTGAATTTAACACTGTCACCACTTCAGTTGAAGAAAGCTAAGTTTCTAGCCCCAAAGGTTAAAGACCAACATCTGGACAAGTAAGGATTTATTAGTGTTTAAGGTAACTCTTGGTAGAAAGGGACTGAACAGAATCTCCAGGGGCAAAGATCTGGGGAATTATGAAAAACCTCCTTCAGAGCAAGAGACATTTTCTTTCTTTCCTTATTTTTGGTGAGTTATTGCTTTCAAGCACTGAACAGGTCAGTAGACAAAAGAGGGGGACAAAATACTAGTATATGTCAGTTCTTATCTCCAGTAACTAAGCCTTAGGGGAGGTATTGGAAAGACACCCATACAAAACTGGGGAAACACTCAAAAGCGTCATCACGGGGGGAAAGGTGTAGCCATCAAAGAGAGTCCAAAGTATCAAACTGGGACCCCCTGGAGGCCCAGATTCAGCCCTAGTTCCTGAGGTCTGAGACTTTATGGTACTGCATGGTTCCATGACTTACTCTACAACTACCAAAGCAGAATAAATTATGCAAAATACAGATGTACTTGCAGGTTTTCATAATTTATTAGGTTACAGGATTTGGATTTCCTTTATAAGAAAGAATACACAACCTCACCCATTGCACAGCACAGATTATGCAGGGAGGAATCCATGTTGTTATGCACAGACTGGTTGTGCACTTGTGCATGCCAGGTGCCGTAACACTGAGTGCAGCCACAGCCTTGGGACTGTTGCCGACACTGTTGCTGGATAATATGGTGGGTGCTCTTACAAAGTTGCTGTCATGCTCGACAAGGAAACACAGGACTGCCAACTAGACGAAGGTAGGGGTAGATTGAGACCCTGCATTCTTGACATGGTATCTGCTATAGTACATGCTTTGGCAGGTCAGTGGCCATAAGATGGGGCAATGTTCACCTTAATGACTCCCCACTCCTTTTTGGGAAAGGTTCCCATGCCTACAATGCCATTTCCTGATGACACCGATAGCTGGCTGTTGGGTGGAATCATTCCATACAATGGGGGAAACCTACAAGGTCTATTCTTCTCATGTGCAACAATTGTTATGATGGTGGTTGCCACTTGGGATTGTTTCCTCAAGCTTCCATGTAGCAGACACAGTGTATGGCATTGCCCCCACCTCCAAAGGGAATGTGAAGGACAGCGACAACTTCTGGGAGCACTCCCTTGTGGAATAGTAACATCAGGAGCGTACTGTAGCAACACAAGAGGTGCTTTCAGACGTTTCCATCCCAAACAAAGGTGGCTACAAATCTGGAGTGGAAAATACCTTACAGAATGGCAACCATTATTTATGGGTGCTGGAGCTACCACTGAAGTTACGGCATGTCAGATGCTTGCGAAACCTTCACCCCTGCTCTCGGATCCTACTCATATATGTGGATCACTTCCTAACCGCAGAGGAACATCTGGCATACCTGCCTGTTAGCATACTGATTAGGTGCAAAGAAACACTACCACTTCCTAGATCATAGTTGGCTTGTGACTGGGCAGCTCCAACCCCAGAAATACTGGGGGGGAAGCACCGCTTCTTACTTGCTCCCCAAGTCTCCCTATCCTAGAGAACCCTGACTTCTTTAAGCACCCCCAGATCACAAAGTGTGCAGGTGTAGATGGATGATCTGAGTGTCAGCATGTGAAAAATGAAGCAGAAGCACAACAACTATGGGAAGACGGTGGCTGTTTCAAGATGGAATGACAACACGTAATGACGTTGAGAACCTTCATCTCCCAGGTAGCAGTTTTTGGCCCAGCTTTATTACCAGCTGCAACAGTAGTAGAAAAGAAAAGAAAATACAGCTTGCTTGAGGATTTTGAACCAGCCATTTAGAAAAAACTAAGCTGCTTGAACCAAAATGGTGTCGTTTTGCACGTCTATACTAGACTTCCTGGCCAGCAGATAACTGTCAACGTGACTTTGTTTCTTTGCTCCTTCAGCATAGGAACCAGTGCTGAGTGGCTCATGCCCACGGTTGAAAGTCCATTGACCGCAACAATCATATCACCACATCTAGGGAGAGAAACAGAGAGTGGGGAAAGCCCATGAAGTTCAGTAAAATGAAAAATTGTTACAGCATCCAAAAATGTTGCAGCATAATTCCCTAATGGAATTATGCTCTGTGGCTGGATTAATCCATCCAGAGAACATCTGATCAGAGAGCAAGAAACCTATCATTCTCCATATACAGTTGAACTACTGTACATTATAACTACTGACCATGCTAACTAAAGTTGATGGCAGCTGGAATCCATCAATATCTGGACAGCCACCAATTCCCCTCTTTTGGTTTAGCTTTAAGCGTTTTTAACATGAGTTAACAAATTAAAAATTCAGATTAAAAATTAATCTGAATGTATTTGCACTGGTGGCTGGGGGATCATGGATGTTATATCCCAACACAGACTCAGGAAGAATGGCATGGAAAGAATATTTGAATTGCTTGGAAAGGTTAAGCCTGACTAACCTCTCAGTGGGCAGAATCCAATTGGGAATTTATGCTGGTGTAATTCTGTAAATTATAGCAGTGAGTTGTCACTAAGCTGTTGTCACTTTCATTCTTGGATACATGCCAATTGTGTGATGCATGCAAAAGCAATGAGTGCTGCTCATATACCGCCCCAGAGCACTCAAAGAACTCTCTGGGTGGTTTACAATTATATTAGGCAGGCCACACATTGCGCTGGGTGGTTTACAGTTTAATTAGGCAGGCCACACATTTCACACACACCCTGCAACCTGAGTGCTCAATTTACCAACCTTGGAAGGATGGCAGGCTGATTGAACCTTGAAACAGCTACCTGGGATTGAACCTGGGTTGTGAGCAGAATTTTGGTTGCAGTACTGCAGTTTAACCACTGCACCGAGACTCCTCGTGTAATTAGACCTTTGTTGGTAGATACCTCCAGCAGGATTTGGGCCATTACGTGTTAATTTCAAAGCTATTTTTAACATGGGTGCCTCACTTTAAGAACAAGAAAATAGCAACTGCTACTGTACTCTTGTGTGTCATAAAAACAATGCTACTTTCGTAAAATGCAATGGTATCTAACATTGTCAGAGCCAAAACAGCCAATCCCCCACCCCCATAGATATGGAGACTAGAATTCAGCTGTGCAATTTTAATGTGATGATGTCATCAGCTGCAGCCTTCTGGGGAGAATGAGGGAGGTGCTTAAAAATGGCTGTCGCCAGTCCTGATCTCAGAGTTCCCCCCAGAGTTCCCTCCTCCATTCTGTAGCTTCCAAAAGCTTCCTCATGATGAAGGAGATTGCTGAGGCCTGGTAGGGGCATAGAGAGCTTTTAATTCCCCTGTAATGGCTGTGGGAGATGTCACCATCACAGTCGCTGTCCATGGACAGGGTGATGCTCACCCACAGAGGGAGGGCCCACGGATGCCTAATGGCCACAAAAGTTACAAGCTCCTTCTGGAGCAAAAGCCGCCTAATGCCACTGTGCACCAGTTGCAGGTGGAAAAACACTGGCAGGGAAGTTAGTCATGTACTGCTTATGGCAATCCACCAGTTGCAGGTGGAAAAACACTGGCAGGAAAGTTAGTCATGTACTGCTTATGGCAATCTGATGGCAATTTGATTTTCTTTTCCCCTTTATTGTCTCTTTATTCTAATTCTTCTGTAATCTGTTGTTTTATTTTATTGTATTTTATCTTTGTTGTTGGCCGCCTAGAGTAGTCCATTGGACTAGATAGGCGGGATATAAATTAAATAAATAAATAAATAAATAAATAAATAAATCCTGGACGCATTGATGCAATGTGCTGGACGACAGAGTGCTTTGGCCTCATCCAGCAGGGTTCTGTTTATGTTTATCCTAAGCCTGGCCAACCTTGGAGCCAGAGAGTGCGTGTCAGTCTCAGTGATGAATATTTAACCCACCAGTCCCTTCTGTTTATTAAAATAAGGCTCTGGATCCTAAACACAAAGAAAGCCCAAAAATTCCTGTTGCATGATTCAGAGTTTGGAAATGTACATGCTGGCATGATTCAGAGTTTGGAAATGTACATGCTGGCATAAGCATAGTGTCTTCGGAATTGTGATGCAATGTGTGTGTGTGTGTGTGTGTGTGTGTGTGTGTGTGTGTGTGTGTGTGTGTGTGTGTGTGTGTGTGTGTGTGTGTGTGTGTTGGCCATCAAACAACATACTACCATGTTTCCCCGAAAATAAGACAGGGTCTTCTATCAATTTTTGCTCCAAAAAATGCATTAGGGCTTATTTTCAGGGGATTTTTTTTCATGTACAACAATCTACATTGATTCAAATACAGTCATGCCATCTTCTTCTGATTGCTGCACAGTGGTGGAGGGCAGGGTTTCACTTAACTGGGGCTTATTTTTGGGATAAGACTTATATTACGAGCATCCTGAAAAATCATACTAGGGGTTATTTTCAGGTTAGGACATATTTTGGGGGAAACAGGGTATCCCATAGATTTATATATTTTATTATAAGCTTTGTTACATTATATCTGGTTACATTCCTTATATCTATGCATCTACTGTATCTATCCAAGTACACTGCAGAAAAAAGGGTGTCACACGTCAATAAATGTGCCATGACAACATTATAAATTTGCATAATAACACATTTAGATCACAAACATATACTGTACATTGTCTGGACAATGAATTTTTAGATTCACATACTTTGATTGTATTCTTGCATTGAGCAGGGGGTTGGACTTGATGGCTTTGTCGGCCCTTTCCAACTTCACTTTCCTATGATTCTTTATTAAGTCTGGCTATTGCACCTCCTTGTTTCAGACGCATATGAAAACAGGAAAATAGTATAGCTTACTTGAGTCTTCCATCGAAATACGCTGGTGTTCCCAGAACAATCGTTTTTATGAAGAAAGGCTGGTTTGTGTGATTTTCTTCATAACCCCCAACAATGCTAAAGCCCCAGCTTGCTAAATTGCTCCTCCGTAGAACTACATCATGGCAGCTATGCAGGCAGCTAAGGAAAGAGGAGGGGGGAAAGGATAAGCCAGATTTTTTGTAGTCAATGCTTCAAAGGCTTGCAATAAAACTGTCCACACCCACCTGCATGTGTAAATTCAATCATGATCAAAGCTCAAAAAAAGCTACTTTTGGGAGGATATGACTCCCAGAACTCTTCAACCAGAAAATTATTAAATAATTTAGAAAAAAAACCCCAAACAAACAGAAAACAGTAATCATATCTATGTGGCCACACCAGGTCTTCACAATTCTCTAAGGTAAGTAACCAGTCAGTTGAACAGGAAAGAGGAATGATTTAATCAGGGTTAAATAGTCCACAAAGCTACTGTTGAGATAGCAATTTACTTTTACAACTTACTTTAAAAACTGATCTTTATTTTGTGCAATAGATTTCCATTTTAACTTATTTTCCCTTTGCTTTTTTAAAAAAATCTCTTTAAAACACTCTGCTGACTCATCCTAGTGTTCTACAATCAAAGCTAAAGAGAAGCATTGCTCTCTCAGTTTCTTGCAACACTGGTTAAAAATTAGAACACTGGGGAGAAAATTATCATTGGTTAAAAAAAATTAAAATAACTCATTTGGAATCTAGGGTGGGGGAAATCAGGATTCTCCCTCCCCCTCCCCCGCTTTTATTCTCATAACAATTGTGTAGCATATGACAGGTTGAGAGAAAAGAGTGCCCAACTCAAAGTTACTCAGTTAGTTTCATGGCACAGTGGAAACTGGACCACGGACTTCCAAGTTCTAGCCCAATATTCAAACCATTATACCATATTAGTTCTCCAGTGGCATCAAATCATATTAAAGACTTGGGAAATACATAAAATGTTACAGTGACTCAACTAGGAAATGAACTGAAGGGTATTCAAAGACCAACCAAAATAAATACCTCCAGAAAACCACAAATGAGCCTGTTAGGTGTTTAGCTGTTTTGCAAGCCCTACCTTGGGAGTCCAAGCCACATCACCCATGACGGCGACCAGCTGGCATCGTATTCATTTTCACTGATGGTGCTGGGCTGCTCCTCCATTGCCTGGGGCTGGTCTTCTGCGATCTGAACCTCCAAGGCTTTGAGGGCAACCACCGAGGAGGCCGCGCTGGCTTTCAGCATGGCCACGGCCTCGCTGTGACTTAAGTTGGTCAGATCAATGCCATTAATATTCATCAGAACATCACCTAGGGAGAAAGTAAATGGACCAAAAAAAACAACAACTATCAAGTGGTCCATAAACTCATGACTTCAGTATGGAGATACATCATGGTGCTGTTTTCTCCTTCTAACTAGAATCTGCAACCTAGAAGCTGGTGTAGATAGTACTGCAAGGGCAAACACGGTTTCTTGCAGCATCCTGCTAGCAACGATACCCAGACTTGCATTCCTGGACTTGAAAACTACATTTCTCAGGTGCTATCCACAAGCAATATCACCCAAGCTTGTATTTCTGAGCTGCAGTGTCAGGGACCCCTGATGAAACGATGTTTCCCAGGAGCTATCTGTAAGCAAAGTAACCTAAGCTTGCGTATTTCTTGGGTGCAGTATGAATAACCTTTGAGGAAAACTATATTATCCATGAGCTGTTTGTAGGCAATGTTCCCTTAGTTGTATTTCTGGGCTAAAGTGTCTTCGAGAAAACAGCTTCTACCGGGGTCCCAATGGCAGTGATGTAAGGAAGTTGAGCAGGAAGCAGTGGGGCAGAGGACTGCAGAAGGGGAAGAGGTAAAGTTTGGGTATTCAGAGGGATGGAATAAGCTTAATGCAGCCTGGCCTGGAAATAAGCAGTTACAGTTGTGCCCTGCTTAACAATTACCCCGTATAATGACGAATCCACTTCAGGACGATGTTTTTGCGATCGCAATTGTGATTGCAAAATGATGTTTTAATGGGTTTTTTTTCACTTTGCGACAATCGTTTCCCTGCTTCGGGAACCGATTCTTCACGATCAAAACAGCTGACTGTCGGGTTTTCAACATGGGCGCCGGCTGCTCAAAATGGCTCCCTGCTGTGTTTTTGGACAGATTCCTCGCTTTACAGGCAGTGAAAATGGCCGCCCCTATGGAGGATCTTCGCTGGACGGTGAGTTATTCAGCCCTTTGGAACGCATTGAACGGTTTTCAATGCGTTTCAATGGGCTTTTTTATTTCGCTTTATGACTTTTTGCTCTACAGCGATTTCGTTGGAACGAATTAATGTCGTCAAGTGAGGTACCACTGTATTTTGATTGGAATGAGCAAAAAAGCAAAAAGCAAAGTGTGCTGCTTATATACTGCCGGCATCGTGCTTAAAGCACTCTCTGGGCGGTTTACAATTTAATTAGGCTGGCTACACATTACCCACCCAGCCCCACCCCCCAGCAAGCTGGGCGCTCAATTTACCGACTTTGGAAGGCTGGGTGAATGTGGGTTGTGAGCAGAGTTTGGCCTGCAGTACCGCCATTTAACCACTGAATCATGAGGAATGAAGTGAGGAAATGGTCCATCTTTTTACTAAGCTGATCCTATTTAAGCTTGGAGGATCTTGTTTGCCACTAGATCATATCATGCAAACCCAACCCGCTAAACTTCCAGTCAACCCTAAGAGAGATCATGTATTTTTATGCTTGCGCCACTGTTGGTGACTATGCAAAATACGAACAATTCATCTCTAGCACTGAACAGCTCCTTGTCTTTTGCCCATGACAAGCAAATCTAGAAGAAGTGGCAAGATTTACAGGCACATGCTTATTTTTGTACAATTCAACCACAGAATATGGCTTTTCGGGGCGTGGGGGGACGTTCTTGGCCCTAAATCCCACCTCTTGCTGCAACATATAAACAATTGTGAATATGGCCATCAGCTTTACAGGTGTGCAGAATATGCCTGGAAAGGAAATGTTAATGGTGCTGGATAAGAAAAGTGATTGCTATGCCCACTATTTGTACCCTTCAAGCTTTAACGTGAAGCTCAGAACACTTGAGGGGGACCAGAATTTGCAGATGTTACGTTTTACAGTGGTCTTTCGGGTGGGGCAACAGCTCAGGACCACAAACAGTGGTGTTCCTTCATTTGAAGGACAAAGGACACTCATTTGATGACCAAGATTTTAGACCAAGATAGGTTTGAGAGAGGGGTTAGGAAAGCCATACATGACCATATAGATAATCCCTCACTCAACAGGTGTGGAGGTCTTAGATGCAATCTGCCTCCTATTTATCATGCTGCTCTTTCATCCATCCCCAGAAAGATAAGGACCACATACACCAGAAAGACCACTGTTAATGACTGTTAACGACCCATGACAATGAGTGGAGAAGGACGGAAAAATGGGATTATCCCTCACCCCCAGTCCTTTGTCCGACTAAGGATCCTATTCAGACCAGGGGGAAGTGAAACCAACTGGAGGATATATCAAGGGTCTTCTACCAACTCTCCTCATACAGAAGAAGCTACTTGGATGAGTAGCAAAATGTTTCAACCTAAGAAGAAAGAAGTCCAATTGCCATGACTCAGCTTCCAGATAACCACACCTGGATGACTGAGAATCTTCACAGATATATTGCTAAACAGCTTTTAATGATGTTAACCACCATTTTACTCATATAGTCATTGTTTTCAGCTTTAAATATTGTATTTCATTGTTGTAAACCACCTTGGGTCCTTTATAAAGAGAAAGAGAAATAATTTTCTTTTGAAAAATACTGTATACTGGAGAGAGATCTCAATCTACTTTCTATCCACCCCTGCTTTACCATAATGTACAGGTACAAGGGGTATATTTGTATAATGATTATATAATTTTTTGCATGGAAACCAGATTCACACTGTACGGTAAGGCCCCATCCGTTGGAACCTCTCTTATCTAAACCCTGTGGCAATGGAAAAGGGAAACAAGTCAGGTGAAGGGTGCTCCCCATGCATTTCATTGGGGTCTATGTGAGACTGAGTGCTTCCTGCCAAGAAGGCATCTCATAGGTTCATTCCACTCCCACCTCTTTTGATCCGTCCGTCTCTTGCCAGGCAGCCATGAGGTTGCACACTGGTCACAAAGATGGGCAGCTCTCCACTTTTGCTTCCTCGGCCTCCTGCCACTGTCATGCCAAGGGACTCGTGAGGCTCTTTCTTCACCATTATGTGCTTCTCTTGGCAAGTGACACACTGGGAAAGGTCCTGGAAACAGGTATTCAGTGTTACTCTTATCTTTTAGGCAGGCAGTCAAGTCAGGCTGATCCAAAAACCATGTAGGGACACATAAAGGTATGGCCTCTTCCTTCACTTCTTCTCTACCACCAATAATAACAGAGATCCTGATTACCTTCATCAACTTTCTCGGAGTACTCTACCACCAATAATAACAGAGATCCTGAATACCTTCATCAACTTTCTCGGAAGCGCAAAATGTTGCCGCATCCTACCATCTCCTTCTGGTATTCTTTTTTCTTCTCCTCTTTCCTGGATTGTATAGTACACAACTGTTCTGATCTTTTTTGAGGGAAGGGGTTAGACTTTTTTTTGAGATATGAACTGGAATTTAGCAATAGACACCCAGAAGGTGGGTCACATGCTGAAATTAGACATTCAGATGTTCCTTGATAATCATAACTCCACTCACTAGAGCAGAGGAGAACTGTCAGTGAGGAGATAAAAGAAATCTAGATTCTAGTGTCATCACTGAGCAGTGGAACTCACTAGGTGATCCTAGGTTGCTTCTCTCTCAGTCTGATCTGTCGTACCTCACAAGGATCAGCTAGGAATGAAGAAACCAATGTACAGTATGATGTTTACGGATTGCTTAGGGATGACGAGACCCATGTATAATCCCTGGAGCTCACTGGGGGAAAGTAAGGAGTACTAATAATAGCAAACAAGTAAATAAGTCAGTCATTGGGACATGGTGGTGCTGCAGGTTAAACCGCAGAAGCCTCTGTGCTGCAAGGTCAGAAGACCAGCAGTCGTAAGATCGAATCCACGGGACGGAGTAAGCTCCCATCACGTGTCCCAGCTCCTGCCAACCTAGCAGTTTAAAAGCATGTAAAATGTGAGTAGGTAAATAGGTACCACCACGGTGGGAAGGTAACAGCATTCTGTGTCTAGTCGCGCTGGCCACGTGATGATGGAAACTGTCTACGGACAAACGCTGGCTCTATGGCTTGGAGACGGGGATGTGCACCGCGCCCTAGAGTCGGGGATGACTGGACTAAATGTCAAGGGGAACCTTTACCTTTATCTAAATAAGTCAGCCAATGAATAAATAAAAGGATCATCAGTGTCATTGACTGACACTACTCAGGTGTTCATCAATCATCCATCCTATCCAGTGGATGAAAAAACAACAGCAAGCCATCCAACCATAGTACCAAGCCTGGCTCCCCTTTGATCCAGCAGCTTACCCTGTGCGGGCTGGGCCTATTGCTGTGATAAAGCTGATGCGACTGGTGCTGGCTGAAGGGATGACTGCCTCCGCCGTCTCTTAAGATGCTCACCATTTGGGACTTGGCTGGCCTGGAAATGGCCAGACTTACTCGCTCCCCACTAGCCTGCAGAATAGAAATGGAAGATGGGGACAGGGAGTGCAATCAGCCTTCCAGCTCATACAGCAGATACCCATGAGAACCAAAACTCAGTCAAAATATTCAGCAAGTTTAGTTCTTCAGGTAATAATCACAACATACAGCAGATACCCATGAGAACCAAAACAGTCAAAATATTCAGCAAGCTTAGTTCTTCAGGTAATAATCACAATACAGTGGTGCCTCCATAGTCTGAAACTGGACTAAAATGCACAAATTAATTTAGTTTCCAGTTTGCAGAATGTTTGCCGCAGACACACTCAATCCTCAGGCCTCCTTTGTTAGGTGCCAATGTATTTATAGTTCCTCAGTCCTCAGGAACTATAAATATACTGGCACCTAACAAAGGAAGGGCCTCTTTGAGGCGGACAGGTCAGCTGGTTAAGTTCTCCTTGGCCTTTTTTCCCAAGGGTATGGAGGGCATCTCCATAAGCCTTTTAACAGGCAGCATTCCCTTCTTACATAGAATTTACCAAGACATGAAAGGTTTCTCAACTTGCACAGACAGTGAACATTGAAATGCGCCACATACGCCAGCTAGGAAGTTTTGATATGAGAAGCTGTGCTACTCCTTACAGGCAAGTACAGAGTCTCTACGGTGGAAGACCAGAAGAAGCACATGCAAGTGTATCCAATACAGTGGTGCCTCGCTTAATAATTACCTTGTTAAACGATGAAACCGCTTGACGATGAGGTTTTCGCGATCGCTTTTGCGATCGCAAAACAATGTTTTAATGGGCAAAATTCACTTCCCGATTATTGGTTCCCTGCTTCAGGAACCGATTCTTCACATTATGACGATCAAAACAGCTGATTGTTGGGTTTCAAATGGCCGCCTGCTGTGCTTTAGGATGGATTTTTCACTGCACAGGCATCGGAAAATGGCCGCCCTATGGAGGATCTTCGCTGGACGCTGAGGTATTTAGCCCAATGGAATGCATTGAGCAGTTTCCAGTGTGTTTCAATGGGCTTTTTTATTTCGCTTGACGAGGATTTCGCTTGACAAGGACTTCGCTGAAATGGATTATCCTCGTCAAGCGAGGCACCACTGTATATAGCAGATGACACGTTGAAATGTTTTCTCTAAATTGAGACTGTAGGGCTGAAATAGGGGGAAGTCAACCCGTCATTCCAGGGTCCCCTTTTTCTCCCGCTGCAGGACCCTCTGGGGACTACTCTAGGGCCTCCAAATGATAAAACTCTTTTTAAAAATCACACGTGACTTTAAAAAATGAGCAACTGCTAAAACATGGTAAGGGGGCATACTTTGTTTTAAGGGAGAATTATGGTCCCTGGACACCCCAGAGGGACCTGAGGCACATATAAAGAGCCCTGAGATGCTCCATGTAGCCAGTGGTTCCCAACCTCGGGCCCAACAAGCATGGCTCAGGTTGGCATAGGCTGGCACTGTCATAAAGCGTATCTCATTCCTGATGCATCAAGCAGGAGGGTTGAATTATGTGACACACCAAGAGGGGTAAATCAAGCCAGTGCCCTCCAGATGTTTTAAATAACTCGTATCACCTGCAGGAAGCCTGATCAATGGCCAGGAATAATGGAAGTTATTTCAAACATCTGGAGAGGGCAGTCATGAAAGAACATGGTTTATTTTTAAGAACAGATTTTCTTTTCTTTGAAACTGGAATGTTAACCTGCAGATTAGAACTTCCAGGAGGGATCTCCTCTCCAAAATCATAGGGAAAAATCCATACTAAAAAGTAAATGGGGTTGAGAGGGTCCCCCCCCCACTTTTTTCTAGTGTGGAGAGGATCCCTTGCAAGCAACAGCTAGCTATGTACAACCCTGCAGTGCATGCCAGGATCTGAGTTTAGCTCTCCCAGCCCCAGAAAGTAGTAGAGAGGTCAGCAAATGATTGTGACTGCCTCCCTCTCCAAGGGACCAACTTCAGGTGTACCTGGATAATCTGTGCCGCCAACTCCGGTGTGCCATGCTTCAGGTCATGCCCATTGATGGCTAGCACCTTGTCGTTGCTACAGAGCCTGCCATCCTGAGCCGCCAAGCCCCCTTCCAAAAGGTCAAGTATGAACACCCCAGGCTCATCTGTTCTGCGCACCAGTTTAATGCCCAGCTGCTCACTGGAGTCCCGTTTGTGCAGGGTCACGTGGAAATTATCTTCTCGCTGGGGCGGGCTGTCGCTGTGGTTGTGAGTCCGGCCCCCGAACCGCCTCTCTCGGAGGACAGTGAGGTGGAGCACAGAACAAGGCTGGGAAAGGATGGCTCTGGCGTTGTTGTGAGACACGTTGCTGATATCAACATTATTGACCTGAAAAACAAGAAGCAGAAAAGTACTAGTGGAATTTGCAACAAAAGAGGGTAATGTATTCACGAAGGCTTTCACGGCCGGGATCTAATGGTTGTTGTGGGTTTTTCGGGCTCTTTGGCCGTGTTCCAAAGGTTGTTCTTCCTAACGTTTTGCCAGTCTCTGTGGCCGACATCTTCAGAGGACAGCACTCTGAGACAGCACTAACATCACAAAATACAGATTCAAACCCAGATCTTTATGAATCAAACACTTAAAGCTCATGTTTGAATCTACTAGTTTTGGTTTCTTTTAACACTTGTAAGTTCTTTCCACCGCACTATCACCTAAAAATATAGCTTGCTAAATTTCCATCAAAAGTGAACTGAAACATTTGTATATTCTCAGCCATTGGTAGTCATGGGCACATGATGTATCTTTTACCTTTCCTATCGCTATCTCTGGCTGCTCAACAGCATTTCGCCCAAAAAGCAAAGAGAGGAGGGAGGAGCACTAGAAGCTCTTGAAGCATGGAAGGCAATTATAAGAGAGCTACCAGCAGGTTGGGGGTCCTCCATATGAGTAATCAACCTGGGCAATTCATGTCTGCAAGGTCCCTGGATCCCAACTTCTCAAATAGGCTTCCCCAAATCTTGCATCTCCTTCTAAGCCCCGACAGACTTAAAAAGACAGCCTGTTCTCCCTTGAATCTGCAGCAGCAAGCAAGAGCCACGTTTAGCTTAGCTTGCTCTTGAGATGGTTAAGATAAAGGAGGCAAGAGATGTGAACCAGTCTGCATACCAAAGGGAAGGAGGCAGCAGATTTAGAGGAAAAGTCATAAGAATGTAATAACATAAGAAGAGCCTTGCTGGATCAGGCTTCTAGTCCAGCTTCCTGTATCTCACATGTGCCTCTGGGAGCACATGAGGCAACTAGATACCGGTCTCCTGATACCCCTGCCCTGCATCTGTTATTTGGAAGTACCTCCGTTCTAAGCCTGGAGATTATACATCCCCATCATGGCTTGTAACCTGTGATGGACCTTTCCTCCAGGAATCTGTCCAATCCCCTTTTCAAGGCATCTATGCTAGATGTCATCACCATGTCTTGTGGCAAGGAGTTCCACAGACTAACAGCACACTGGATAAAGAAATATTTTCTTTTGTCTGTTCTCACTCTCCCAACACTCCATTGGAGTGGATGTCCCCTGGTTCTGGTATTGTGTGAGAGGGAAAAGAGCTTCCCTCTATCCACTTTCTCCATCCCCTGTATAATTTTATATGTCTCAACCATGTCCCCCCTCAGGTGCCTTTTCTCTAGACTAAAGAGCCCCAAACGCTGTAGCCTTTCCTCTTGAGGGAGGTGCCCCAGCCCAGTCATCATTTTAGATGCTCTCTTCTGCACTTTTTCCAGTTTCACAATATGTTTTTTGAAGTGTGGCAACCAGAACTGTACGCAATACTCCAGGAGCTGCTTACCAGTGTTTTGTACAATGGCATTATAATGTTGACCATTTTATTTTCAATCTCCTTTTTAATGATCCTTAGCATGGAATTGGTCTTCTTCACTGCTGCCGCATACTGGGTTGAGACTTTCATTGAGCTGTCCACCAGCACACCAAAAATCTCTTTCCTGATCCATCATGAACAGCTCAAAACCCATTAGCTGATAAATAAAGTTTTTAATTTTTTGCCACAATATGCATTACTTTACATGTTTTTATATCGAAACACATTTGCCTTTTTGTAGCCCATTCTCCCAGTTTGCAGATATCTTTCTGGAGCTCTTCACAGTCCCTTCTGGCCTTCACCATCCGGAAAAGTTTCATGTCGTCTGCAAACCTGGCCATCTCATTGCTTATCCCTGTCTTCAGGTCATTTATAAACAGACTGAAAAGCACTGGTCCCAGGGCAGATCCCTGGGGCACACCGCTTTTCACCTCTCTCCATTGTGAAACTTGTCCCCTGACACCTGCTCTGTTTCCTGATTCTCAACCAGTTCTCAGTCCATAAGAGGACCTACCACCTTATCCCCTGAAGTGATCAACAATAATCCACGCCACTGCACTCAGTTTATGATAAGATCCAAAAACAAAACAAAAAACAAAAAAAAACAACCCTCTCAGGACACTAAAAGCTACCAAGAACAGAAAGCATTCCACATCATTCACAAAACAAAGACAGAACAATTAGCCTGACTTCCCTTGTTCAGAAAGATGTGAGGGACCAGAAGCAGTTATTGGATGCAAAACTCCCAGAGCCACATAAATCACCGGTATTGATACTGAAATAGTAAATCTTGTTTTGTCTGATTAATAATGTTTTCCCAACCAGAAACTGCTGTGCCAACATTTGCCCGGAGCAGAGATGCCCAATCAGGAAATTGTGACTCCCACTCACAGTGCCCTCTTCTCTTGCTACTCACTTGATGTGATGCTGCACAGTCCAGGCTATGGACACATTCAGTCAAGAAGAATATATAATTGGGTACCTACCTGCAGTATTTGATCTCCAGCAAGGAGCCTTCCATCTCTGGCAATAATCCCATCTCGATACACTTCTTGAATAACAATGTTGATCAAAGGTGTTTCATTGCCACCCACGATGCTAATGCCCAGCTCAATGTAAGGATTGGATCGATGAATTTCAATGGTGGTGATTTCACCTTCTGGCAAGCTTGGCGGGTGATGGGTTGCTGCCCAGTTTGAAAAGAAAAACAATACATAACCCCTAAATAGGCTTTCCCCCCACAAAACCAAAGGGACAGTTGGACAAGAAACAAAAGGACATTGGATTTCATAATGGATATCAAATAAATAAATTAAATTAAAAGCTCATGCAACTTGTGATCTGCCAAGCGAAATGCTGGTACTAGAGATGTAAAATTTCCAAAAATTACAATTTTTTCCAGGGGAAAAAAAGTTACCACCCCTTTTTTATTGGGAAACATTTGAAATGTTTAATGCGCTAACATTCAAGTGATTTACAGTATGGATCAACAGGGCCAGTCCTGCCATAAGGCAGAGTGAAGGAATTGTCTCAGGTGGCAGATACTGGGAAGCAGCAGCTGCAACCTCCATCCTGAACTCTGGTTACTTCCTTGTGTTAGAGGACAGAACTGTGTTTACCACACAATCTGTCCTGCTCACATTATATTAGAGCACTTCCCTCAAGTGCAGCGCAGGCCATTGTTCCATCACCTACAGTGGTGCCTCGCTAGACAGTTACGCTGCATGACAGTTTTTTCGCTAGACATTGACTTTTTGCGATCGCTATAGCGATTCGCAAAACAGTGATTCCTATGGTGGAATTTCGCTGGACAATGTTTGGTCCCTGCTTCACAAACCAATTTTGCCAGCTCCCTCTGCGCTCGCAAGACAGGTGTTTTTGGGACCTAAGCTTCGCAAGACAGCGATTTAAACAGCTGATCGGCGGTTCGCAAAGCAGCTTTCCTGTGGCCGATCTTCGTAGACAACGGCCATTCTTCCCCATTGGAACGCAGTAAACAGGTTTCAATGCATTCCAATGGGGAAATGCTTTTCGCTAGACAATGATTTTGTTAAACAGCTATTTCAGTGGAATGGATTATCATCGTCTAGCAAGGCACTGCTGTATCTTGCTGTAAAATGCAATTGTCAGTTTTGTTTGTACATGAAATTGGAGGGCAAAGGCATCTTGATTTCTGCCTTGGATTTGCCTTGTGTACCAACAGTGTCTCATAGAGGAAGAACTACCTGATCTAGTGATACTAACTGCAACATGAAAACCATGGTGCTTCACTGAGGAAAAAACAACAGCTATTTCAGTGGAATGGATTATCATCGTCTAGCAAGGCACTGCTGTATCTTGCTGTAAAATGCAATTGTCAGTTTTGTTTGTACATGAAATTGGAGGGCAAAGGCATCTTGATTTCTGCCTTGGATAGGAAACTCTTTGGATTTGCCTTGTGTACCAATAGTGTCTCACAGAGGAAGAACTACCTGATCTAGTGATACTAAATGCAACCTGAAAGCCAAGGTGCTTCACTGAGGAAAAACCAGGGTTGGGGTAGTGGTGGAAATGGCTCCAGTATCCTTGTATTATATAAGCAAACCTTGGATAATGAAATGGCCGTAGGCCAAGTTGTGCAAGAGGAGGCATTTCTCCAACTTGCCATCAAGTAGCCAAGAGATGAACAGAGGAGAGATCATGTGGTTCATCTAGATTAGGGTGGGCAACCCAACAGCCTGTAGGCCCTCATTTTTGCAGCTGCAGACATTCCCATCCACTGGAAAAAATGTTTCTCAGAAAAGGGAAGCTTCCACTCTGGAAATCATCAGGAGAACAGTTCTCTACAACAGTGGTCCCCAACCTTGGGCCTCCAGATGTTTTTGGACTTCAACTCCCAGAAATCCTGACCAGCAGAGGTGGTGGTGAAGGCTTCTGGGAGTTGTAGTCCAAGAACATCTGGAGGCCCAAGGTTGGGGACCACTGCTCCTACAACAAAGCACAGAGCCTTCCTTCAGACTGTCTCTGTGTGAGGTGTGATTCTTCCCTCCCCAAAAAACAAAACAAAACCTGGAAGTAAACCTCAACTTCAGTTTGGGCAAAAAGGCCCTCTCCCAATTTCTGGACTGGATGTGGCCTGTGTCTAGTCCTGGCTGGGGGCGAGCTAGGTGTGCTGAAGCTGTATATCCTTGAGATTAATCAACAGATAACAGGAAAAAGATACAAAGAGCAAACAGATAAGATACTTTCTGGCCCAATTCTGGGTGAGTTACAAAACGAGTCCCTTTCTCAGGGAAAAAGGCAGGGCAAAAATCAATTGAATGAATGAATGAAACTGAAACTCTAAACATTCAAAATAGCACTGCCACCATTCAGAGATGTGCACAAATACTGTACATGGCTAACATCTGAAATTCCAGCAGAATCAAGAAAAGTTACTGTCTTCTACTCTTACTTCTAGAATCCTTCAACCAGCATAGCTATGACTAGGTGAGGAATTCTGGGAGTTGAGGTCCTAAAGAATAAATATTTCAAGAGATGAACAGGTCACCAGGGGAAATACTTTTATTCTTGAGAGCTCAATCCAATAAAGCCACTAATGCCACTGGATGTCCCTTAAAGTAGGTTTCGTCTCTCAGTCTTCTTTCCTGGCCATCATTTGAACTCTAAGTAGTTTAGTGAACTGATTAATTAGATGTATAAATTAAAATGGTTATCTGGACTGCTTAAAATAGTGCACCAATTAAGCTGGCAGATGGTGCTTCAAGCCTGTTACTTCTATTTTCTTAAAGTAATCAAAACATGGAAGGCTTGAACGCCTGGAAAATTAAAGATTTGTTACACACATACAATCAAGTCTCAAAGAATCCAAAAGCTATTTCACTGTCTTGTTGGTTATGTGTGTTGTCATATCACCTCTGACTTATAGCAACCCTATGAATGAGCAATCTCTAAAATGTCCTGTCCTCAAAAGCCCTGCTCAGCTCTTGTTGACTCAAGCCTATGGCTTCTTTTAGGGAATCAGTCCATTTCATATTTGGGGTCTTCCTCTTTTCCTGCTGCTTTCCACCTTTCCCAGCATTATTGTTTTTTCCAGAGAATCCTGCCTTCTTATGATGTGCCTGAAGTAAGACAGACTCAGACTTCAGTATTTTTGCCTCTAGAGATCGTTCAGGGTTGATTTGATCTAGGGCCCAATGGCTTGTCTTTCTGGCAGTCCAGGGTATCCACAACAATCTCCCCCAGCACATTTCAAGGCCTTTGCTGTTTTAGTTGTTATTGTTAAAAAGCAACCCTGTTTCCCCAAAGTAGCTAAAACAGACACTTTGGGTTCTTTCAAGAAGGAGGACAAAGCTAAGGAGAAGGAGAAGGTTATAAGCCATTAGTCAGTGGTACAAAACACACACCCCTTCTGTTTGTTTGGCAACTCAACATTCACGACAGAACATGAGCGGGCAACAAAGAATACAACATAAGGCAGCACTTGAACTATGTGATGCTATCACTCATTAAGTTACAACAGTAATATACTGCAATGCTCCCTTGTCTTCCCTGGAAAAACAAAATAATTAATTCTAAGTAACTAGCTATTTGTAACTCATTACTTTCAGCTTTGGTCTGTAGCCGTATCTAGTTCACAAGATTGTTGTGAGCAGAAGATTGCTGAGCACTAATGAGAAAACATAAATATTTGGAAAAAAAGTGATGACTCACTTGCAAGAAAGAATAAAATCTCCCTTTAAAACATCCCAAGGTTTAAGACAGGTGGGTCAAACAGTGTGTCAAAACAGAAATAGAACATACTGTCAGCTCCCATGTTCTCCTCGAAGGCAGGGTTATCAAGGCCAGATTCATCTGTCCACACTGGAACAGTTGCTGATGTGAGGTTCTGCTCCACTGGTGCTGCTCCCGTCCCAGAATGCTCTGCATCAGGAGACTGGGAACTTGGGCGATCCAGCATGCTGTTCTCATTCTCACTCTCTGCATCTCCCTGTAATTTGCTGTTTTTCCTTCTCTCCAATGCAGCTCTTCGATGGGAAGCCCCAGGACACCTAGGAGATTACATGCAACCATGTCTTTACAAAAACAGGGAACATAACAACAAGCCTGAACACAATTAAAACGTCTTACTGCTCCAGATGTACAATCCGGTATAGCTTTCCCCAATGTACAGTCGTGCCCCGCTTAATGATTACCCCGTATAACGACAAATCCGCTTCACGGCGATGTTTTTGCGATTGCAATTGCGATAGCAAAACGATATTTTAAATGTTTTTTTTTTTTCACTTTGCGAAGATCGGTTCCCTGCTTCGGGAACCAATTCTTCACATTACGACAATCAAAACAACTGATTGTTGGGTTTTCAAGATGGCCACCAGGTGCTCAAAATGGCTCCCTGTTGTGTTTTTGGATGGATTCTTCGCTCTACAGACAGCGAAAATGGCCGCTTATGCAAACTTTCACAAGAAGCCCATGTTTAACCTTGGCACAACGTCGTTAAGCGAGGCACCACTGTAGTGCCTGCCACATGTTCTGAATGGCAATTCCCATCATCCCCGGCCATTTGCCATCCTGTCTGAGGCTGAGTTGCAATCTAAAACATAAGGCAAGGTTACAGCATCTGGCTGCAACACGGAGATTTCCTTAGTAACTGGCCAAAGCGACTAAGTTTCAAATTGAGATCTCCACCTATTATAGTTCTAACTATTAACTAATCTTTAGTTGACACAGTCTTTCCGTCACATCTTTTCAGATGAGATCCTGTGCTCAGATTTTGGGAAAATGTTCTTTTAAAATCTGAACCAGGAAAAGTGAGGAAAGAGGGCAGTTCCGAAGACTCCTGTGTTAACAGAAGAAAATGTGTCTATGAGCCAAACTAGGACAGCTTTCCAATTAGAAGCGGATAGCATGTTGTTCTCCCAGTGTAACTGCCTATGCAAACTTTCACAAGAAGCCCGTGTTTAACCTTGGCAACCAATCACAAAACAAACATGCAAAATACAGGAAGTGAGAAAAGGTCATGCTGTTATAATCACATATCCTTTAATACTTCAGGGAGCTCTGCTTCTAAATGCAAAGCTGCTTTCTTGCCTAATCTGAGCCTAGAGAGAGCAATTTGGTTTGCCTTTAGCTTGCTATTGGACCATTATCTCCCAACTGAGATAATGAGTTGTGTCCAAATGGGTCCAATTAATTGGACTGAGATCTCACTGAAATTGATGGGAATTAAATTCAGACACTTTGGTCTGAATCTAACCCTCTGTGCACTGCATTCTGTAAACAGATCTGAATGCAGAGATCCAAAAAAAAAATATCTCCATCAATTAGGACAATGAGCGAATGAACATCCACTATGGTTGTAGCTTACAGTAGGTGTGGTGCTGTATTCACTTGTATTTATTGAGTATACCTGGACAGAGTATACTCTCTGGCATAGCATATAAATTAATCTGTAATGCCTGCATTCTTGGAGAAGCTTTCATCATATCCTGAGCTGCTAGCCTTATATTTTGAATTTGTATTATTTTGATGAAGCAACAGAAAACAAAAGTCAACTAAATTCAGACAAATAGCTGCAGCCCGTTGTTCAGTCAGCAGCTTTTGGCAAAACACATCTCAAAATACTATTAAACATTTAGAAGGTTTCTAAAACAATGCATGCTTGGGAATTAAAAGTCCACCCAAAACTTCGGGTAGTTTATTAAAGATGAACTGTAAGTGCTTTCTGGAGTCTGTGGCTCTCAGGGGAACCTGCTGAACCTGAAAATGTGGTAAATCAAGGGGATGCTAATGAGGCAATAGCGTAATATTGGGGGGGGGGTTGATTAGTGACCAGGAAATAATTACATTTGTGCCTCTTTCTTCTAATCTCCTTGTTAAACTGGGTCACAGATTTACCACACACTCAAAAATTGCCAAAGGGTTACATTGACATTTCCACTTTGCTTTTATGCTTAAACGAGGCAGTTTTTTTGTCAATGGAAAGTGCCAGGCCGAAGTCAGACTGTCTCCAATGCTGAGGTCAGCTGAGTCTGTTCCAGTTTTGTGTGGTCATACTGAAAGTTGTGGCCTTGGATCTGGGAGGTGGACTTCAGCCTTGAATTCAGACATGGGTTTACTGAAGCTAGTTTTGGACAATCAGTATTCCTCAGCAATGGGGCTAAACACAATGTTAACCTTACCTACAGGAGGCTCATTGTAATAAATCAGATTTGAATTCTTTGTGACTACCAAGCTTATTCTTTTCACCAGGTGTGTTCTCATCAAGCACGACATTTAGCCAGTGACTCTCCTGTTACATACAGCACTGATGTTACCTGTCTGTCATGGGTTGGAGGGAAAGTTCCATCCTATGGGGAGTGGAAGGCGGGACATCAGGAGGAGGGGCTGTACTGTATATATGTCAATGGAAAGTGCCAGGCCGAAGTCAGACTGTCTCCAATGCTGAGGTCAGCTGAGTCTGTTCCAGTTTTGTGTGGTCATACTGAAAGTTGTGGCCTTGGATCTGGGAGGTGGACTTCAGCCTTGAATTCAGACATGGGTTTACTGAAGCTAGTTTTGGACAATCAGTATTCCTCAGCAATGGGGCTAAACACAATGTTAACCTTACCTACAGGAGGCTCATTGTAATAAATCAGATTTGAATTCTTTGTGACTACCAAGCTTATTCTTTTCACCAGGTGTGTTCTCATCAAGCACTACATTTAGCCAGTGACTCTCCATCTACAGAACTAGAACAATAATGACAAACCATGAAGGGGTGCCTTGGAAAATGAGCAGAATTTGGAGAAGTTCCTTTTCGGATTACAACTCACACAATCCCGCACCCAGCATGGCCAAAGTAGCAAATATATTTTGGAAGAGGTAGTCCAAATTTTCCCCCCAAGCTTTGAAAATAAGTTTAATAACTCTTAAAGCACCCTAGGTGTTGATAGCGGTGTGTTAATGAGGGCAATGACATCCCTGCTTACATTTATCTTCTCCCAGGTAAACTGTGCACATGCCATACATTTACTCAAAGGATGCCCCAAGCATCTGAACAAGTACTGTACTGTGATATCTGGTATTCCTGTCTACCCAAAACAATCAGGTTTCTTGTTATATAACTACAGCACAGTGTTTTTGACATATCTGTAGATCAATCCACATGGAACTGAAAAGACCAGGGCTTGGTTTGTCAACAGCAGCACATGCAAAAAGCTTTCGCTTTCCATGTAATGCAAGGTTTGGGTGAAAAATTCAAGGTTTTTGAAGGGGAAAAACATTATTCATTCAGTCAGTTTTTTAAACTTGGTTGTAGACATTATCAGCAATGTGTCGTTGTTTAGTCATTAAATCGTGTAGGACTCTTCGTGACCCCATGAACCAGAGCATGCCAGGCCCTCCTGTCTTCCACTGCAATCAGCAATGTATGTAACACCAAAATAGTGTTGTTTTTGTTTTTGTATAGTTATGATTATTTAATGACTAAAACAGCATTTGTTCAAAAATTTCTGCTAAAAAATTTGAAGAATTATGCCAATAAATTAATTTTTAACAGATTATTTTCAACATCTAGTTTATATTCAAATGCAGAGAGGGAAGAGTTTAGAACTGGTTGTTTTTTCCCCTTGATTTTAAAAGAGAATCAGGAGAATTGATAACTCTTCCAAGATCTTCCATCTGACTTGGACAACCTTCTCAGCTTACCTGTTTTTAAGGTGTGCCTCCAGGTCGCACCGTTGCATGACCTCCTCACATATTGGAGAAAAGGGACACAACACCAAGAGCTTGTCAAGCAGTTTGTGAACAAGGATGCTGGATTTTTTGCACAGCTTAAAGTGGAGCCGTTTGCGATCCAAAGGACAGAAATCCTTCTCTTGCAGAAAGTTCCGTAGGCACTTGTAGCAGAATGTGTGACCGCAAGGCGTATCCAATGGCTGTAGCAAGGGCTGAAGGCAAATATGGCAGACCAAGTCATCATCCACGTCATTTTGATAATTGTATAAATGGTTCTCCCTTGTCCAGTGCTGCTGCCCACATTCAAAGCACAGAGGGTTCAAGTTCTGTTCCACTGAAACCATCTCTTCATTCGTGGTGCCCATTATAACACAACCTGGTCTGGCTCCCTCATCAGTGGAGAACTTGTAGAGGTTTTGGCATTGCTTAGCAAGGAGTCATTTTTCTGAAAAAGTTAAAAGAAACACATCACTGACAGAAACAGTGGCTGCTAAAAATAGAAGGTTAGCAACAATACTTAAAATGCTTCCAAATTCATATAGGAAATTTCTGGTCTATGGCTGGGTCCACGAACGAAGCGCTAAAAGGTGGTCCACTTATTCTCAAAGGCTTTCACAAAGTCAATTTCAAGAGGTCGATCTCTTGAAATTTTGGGGTCAAGATTTTTGCAGGGAATCACAAATCATGTGGGGGAATCATGAATGCTCCTTTGGCTCCTTCCACTGGTGGATGCCACTTCCAACCTACACATGTCCTCAAACATATGGTTATGCTGTAAGGTAGCATTCTTCCAGGCATCCTGAAAACACCAAAATGGCTGCCATTGCACAGGAGAAGGACTGGTGAAATGTTGGGTGTCCTCTGACTGACCCCTTCCCTACTTTCTAGGCCATGAAGGCATCTGTGAGATTTGGAAAAATTGAAGGGAGAATTGACATGGCAGTAATGTATACCATGTTCTTTTCAAAGAACCTGAAAATTTAAATCCAAAGCCCATACATCTATATCCTGGCCAGACAAAGGTGATGCCTACAACCCAAATACAGTGGTGCCTCGCTAGACGATGATAATCCGTTCCACTGAAATCGCTGTTTAGTGAAATCATTGTCTAGCGAAAAGCATTTCCCTATTGGAATGCATTGAAACCTGTTTAATGTGTTCCAATGGGGAAGACTCGTAGTTGTCTAGTGAAGAATGGCATAGGAAAGCCGATCAGCTGTTTAAATAGCTGTCTTGCGAAGCTTAGGTCCTGAAAACACCCGTTTTGCAAGTGCGGAGAGAGCTGTCAAAATCGTTGTCTAGCGAAAATCAGTTTGCGAAGCAGGGACCAAACATTGTCCAGCGAAATTCCCCCATAGGAATCACTGTTTTGCAAATCGCTATAGTGATTGCAAAAAGTCAATGTCTAGCGAAAAAACTGTCATGCAGCGTAACTGTCTAGCGAGGCACCACTGTATGTTATATGAGCTGCAGAAATTTGCCCTGTTTCTTTTCCTTTACACAACATCATGCAACTTTTATTATTCTGCATAATTCATGTTTCTTCTGCAGGCAGCAAAGGACAAGCTCCATACACTCAAATACATGTACCAGATCTATCGTAGTTCTACTCTTTGTGGCTTGTCAGAACCACAAAAACTCCCCTTTTCAAAGGAAAAAATTGAGAGGAAAAATGTGAGGGTATGTGTTCAATCCTTCCCCATCTTGCTGTAAACTCCAAGTCCCAAAGCTTTGTTTGCTTAGAAAGGGCCATCAGGGTTTTGCTATGCACATCTATACAAACTGTAGATCAGTCCTCAGCCTCAGCAGGGATAAATTCCTGGAAAGCTGTAAGAGCGAGAGAATTGCTTTGAAAATACTAATAGTAAATATTCAGGAAGGAATGCTTTAATATCACGTTCTCTGCTTCTTTTGCTGCCCTGGATCCCCCCAGTTATAGCAGAGTCATGACCCTATCCCTTCCATACCCTTACACTGCAATACATGCATAGCACTAGGCTTTTATTTTCACACAATGGCAAGTATGCCCCAGTGCTATTATGTGTTTTTTAGTCACATGAGCATATGTGGCACTGTGGGAGTACTAAATGCTTCAAACAAAAACAATTAGTTTCATGGACAAGCACAAAATAAATGCTCCCATTGTGCAGGAAAGATTGGGTGATGCCATTAATCAAACCTGCTGTTTAACTGCAGGAGAAAACACGGCCATCCCATGTGCACAAAGGTTTGGATTTGTTTCTTTTCCTTTTTAGGCTTTTTAGACAGTTTGCAAGTCTGCATATCAGAATCCAAATGCACACATCAGAAGTTTACCTGCTTGCTGATCTCAGTAACAGACATTAGCAGTCAGACTCCGTGTGCACTATCATAGCATGTAGTCTTGATGATGCAGGCTGATGACGTCTGCTTATTGTTCTGTCTGCATTTTAACATAATTGTTTTGCCATCTGTTCTTTTTTATATATATTGTTATACTATGTTATTGTCCACCACTGTAGGTGTTTAATAAATGGAAAGGCAGGATAGAAATATGTTCTAATAAAGATCAAACAAACACACTGGGTAACAAGTTAGAATCTGAATCCAATATTGGGAAGGAGTAATGGAATTCATAACCTAGCAAGGTTATGCTCAAAATCCTCCAAGGTAGGCTTCAGCAGTATGTGGACCGAGAACTCCCAGAAGTACAAGATGAATTTCAAAGGGGCAGAGGAACTAGAGACCAAATTGCTAACATGTGCTGGATTATGGAGAAAGCCAGAGAGTTCCAGAAAAATATCTACTTCTGCTTCATTGACTCTGCGAAAGCCTTTGACTGTAATGGACCACAGCAAATTATGGCAAGTCCTTAAAGAAATGGGAGTGCCTGATCACCTTATCTATCTCCTAAGAAACCTATACGTGAGACAGGAAGTAGCAGTTAGAACTGGATATGGAACAACTGATTGGATCAAAATTGGGAAAGGAGTACAACAAGGCTGTATATTGTCCCCCAGCTTATTTAACTCATATGCAGAATATATCATGCGAAAGGCCGGACTGGATGAATCTCAAGCCAGAATTAATACTGCCGGAAGAAATATCAACAACCTTCGATATGCAGATGATACCATTCTGATGGCAGAAAGTGAGGAGGAATTAAAGAACCTTGTAATGAGGGTGAAAGAGGAGAGTGCAAAAAACGGTCTGAAGCTCAACATCAAAAAAGCTAAGTTCATGGCCACTGGTCCCATCATCTCCTGGGAAACAGAAGGGGAAGATATGGAGGCAGTGACAGATTTTACTTTCTTGGGCTCCGTGATCACTGCAGATAGGGACAGCAGCCACGAAATTAAAAGACATCTGCTTTTGGGGAGGAAAGCGATGACAAACCTTGACAGCATCTTAAAAAGCAGAGACATCACCTTGCCGACAAAAGTCCGCATAGTCCATGCTATGGTTTTTCCAGTAGTGATGTATGGAAGTGAGAGCTGGACCATTTGGAAGGCTGACTGCCGAAGAATTGGTGCTTTAGGAAATCAACCCTGAGTGCTCACTGGAAGGACAGATCCTGAAGCTGAGGTTCCAATACTTTGGCCATCTCATGAGAAGAGAGGACTCCTTGGAAACGACCCTGATGTTGGGAAAGTGTGAGGGCAGGAGGAGAAAGGGACGACAGAGGACGAGATGTTTGGACAGTGTCATCGAAGTGACCAACATGAATTTGACACAACTCCGGGAGGCGGTGGAAGACAGGAGGGCCTGGCGTGCTCTGGTCCATGGGGTCACAAAGAGTCGGACACAATTAAATGTCTAAACAACAACAAATATGGAATTCATTCCCCCCCCAGAGCATGCAGTAGCATTGTTGTTCTTAGGGGCCCTTGTTAAATTGGAACAGCTTGCCCAATGGCTTATGCAACTTGAAGCTGTGTGAAATCTCTCAGTTGCACATAATTTGGTACCCAAAGTTTCAGATAGAGCATAATTTGCTTTAGTGGAAAGATATCCCAAGACACAGGCCAAGGAAAGGAAAGGAAAAGATTACCACTTGGTTCGGACATTCATTTGTGGACTTACAAACCATGGTTTATAAAGAAACAAGCACCCTGCTAACCATGATTAGAACAACAAGCACTCTGCCAACCATGATTAGAAAAATCAGCCTCTAGCCTTTAAAATTTGTAGTTTCAATCCTTTCACAGCCTTTCCGCCATCTCAAAGAAATGTGTCTATATGCACCTTCGTCACAACCATACAGTTTCAAACCACCAAAGTTAAACTGCTCAAAGCTTACTGAATTCTTCTTTAACTTGAATCTAACACTGTATTCCAAATCCTAGCTGAAACCCTAGTTAGCTATGCCCTGATTCAGAGGGGTACCAACAAACTGCTTCATGGGTCAAGGGAGGATTGTGCTTTAGGAAGGGGATGTTATGAACAAGAAGCCTGCACTAGGCTCTAATAATGGTTAACAAAAATCAACTTCTTCCTGCTCCAGCGTGATAACAACACACATTTTTGGTGTGTTGAAAAAAGAGCAAGTAACATAAGCAGCTCCAGTTACGGATAAGTTTCACTGGCATTTCTTTCCAATAAAATAAAACATACAACATGACAAGACAGTGAGAAAGTTACTCCAATGATTAAAAGTCAGCACCAGCCAAATGATTAGCATTCATGTAATATGCAGACTGCCTCCCAAGTATGTTAATAGGAGTTTTTGCAAACAAGACAGATTCAACAGGAAGACTGGGCAGCAACAAAGTACCCTGAAGTAGAGATGTAAATCTTCACCAGTCTTATTCTTGTGTGGAAAGATACACTATTCTTCTCCTCACCAGTGAAGATGGTAAAGAATTTCCTAAAATTCTTTGTAAGAGTAACCCCGAAGGGAAAAAGCATTTTATGAAAACTCACCTCCCACCCCCAACTCACCTATTTTTGCTTATTACATAGTTTTTGTGCCAGACGGTGAAACAACGTGAACTGCCCCAAAGCAGAATGATAGCAGCGTCATTCAGAAATGTGGAGCGCTAAAGGGGTTGTTTGCTGTTTTTTAAACAGTCCTGTTCCTGCTGTGTTTGTGTGTGTTTCACTGCTCAAAAGAAGAAATCAACTAGAATAATTTTGCACAAATTAAGAAAACTTGAGGGGCAGAGAGAGAGAGAACTTTGATTTTTTTTTTCAAATTCAGATAAAAAGATTTTTTTTAGGGGGCCTGTGTTGAATTGGGTAAAGTATTCTGGGAATTATAATGTTAAAAAAGGTGTCGTTCTCATCTGTAATGGTGCTTCACATCATATTGTGCTGGCCTTGAATTAACCAAAATGTTTCTGAAGGTGTTTTTTTAAAAACTGTCTTGTATTTGAAATACAATCTATTTTGCCAGTGCTAACTGGGAATCAAACCTTTAGGCAGTTTTCAAAGATGCAGCTGTGTTAGTCTGTTTCAGTAGATATA